GGGGGGGGGGGGGGGGGGGGGGGGGGGGGGGGGGAGATGGATGCTTAGATGGGTGTGTGTGCTTTGGTTATGAAGGGAGGTGGTGGTCTTGCACGGAGAGAGATACATGTATGTATGTGGTTTTAGTATCTGAGAAATCGGGTTCTTTTTTTTTCACACAGCGGCTTGACTTGGGGTGAATGCCTTGTTGTGCTGTGCTGTGCTGTATTTAAGTAGGATGGATGGGAAGAAGAAGAAGAAGCTTACATACTCACCAAATAACACATCTAGTAATTCCATGTCCTATCTTGATATACACACGACACCACAGCTTAGAAGCACAGATTTCTCATCGCACAAACGAGTTTTGCCTTGGTTTGCCTTGCTTATTCGAATAACCCTGAAACCACACTACCAGCCCTACAACCCCCCATCATTCCAAACAAACATGTCCACACCCTCATTCCTGCCAACCATGTCCACCCCCTCATTCCTGCACCACAACACCCACGACTCCCTCAGCAATAGCCCCCATAAACTCTGCGATATCCTCGCCGCGCTCATCCAGCACAAACTCGAGCGTCTGGACCCACGTCTCGCCGTTATTCGAGAACCAGTCGTACTCGGGACACAGGCTCTTGACATAGGCCTCGACCATGCCCTTGAGCGGGGCGTTCTCCTTGAGATACAGAATCTGTGCGGGATCGAGTTTGAGGTAGTCTTCTACGACGTAGTAGTGGGGGATGTCGTCGCCCCAGCCCTCGGCGCCGACCTCGTGCGAAGGATGCAGCGAGTACTTTGAAGCTGCGTAGCGAGACGTATATGTGTTTGTGTTGTTGAAGTGGGTGGAAAACGGGTTTGGGGTGAACGGGTTAAAGGCCTGAGGGGCTGTGGGCGGATAGTTGAGGTGGATGTTGAAGAGCAAGGCGTGTTCGTTTCCTGGGTGTCGTTTCTTGAATTTGCGGGCGATCGCGCCGTTGGACGGGCATATGTTGCTGTGAACGACTTCGCGCATGATGCCGTGCACGTCGGCAATCTCGGCAAGTTCCCATGTACTCCAGTTGTGCAAAAGGGCGGCGCGCTTCAGGAGCACGAGGCGCGTGGCGCGAAGTTCGCGAGGATGGTCGCGTGTGTGAAAGGCGCGCGAGTACAGCCAGATGCGATATATCGCCCGTCTTACGTGGTACCGCTCCTCAGCCGTCAGCAGGCGACGGCTCTCGAAGTCATGTTTCCATTTCTTGAACGGGTATATATCGCACCACTTCTCTGCTACGCGGCCGTGCTGGACAATTTGTTTGAGTAAGGCGAGCGAGAAAGGGACTGAGCGAACGATATGTGCGGGCTGGCTGGCGTTGTGGGTAAGGAGTTGGGTGAGATCATGTAGGGGACCGAATTGCGCCTCGGCTGCGCCTTCGAGTATAGCCAGTTTCTGAGAGGAGGAATAGATGTTGCAGAAACGCTTGCAGGTGGATGAGAGGGCTGTTACGTCGGTGACTGAGGCGCAGGATAGATAGACCTGTACCACGAGCTCCGTGGCAAGGTCTTCGAATAACATCCTGCGTGTGATGCACAATATCAAGTGGTGCTTGCTTATTCTTGTGGCTTGGACAGTCAGTATCGTGCAAATATGACGCAGGCTCCATGGTCTCAAATGAGGCGGACTACTCACTTGTGAGTTGGCAATTGGTACGTGTATTTAGTCGCTGTAATGCTGATCTGTTTCTCTTCCGATAGGATCAACCTCGACAGTCGACTTTGCTTCTTCTGGCTGCAATTCAACTGGAATTGCGCGTATCAAGGTATACGTTTGGATGAACCGACGCGTAGCTACTTTGCTTACGCCGACAGGTAACGAGTAGTCTAGAAAGATCGGACCCCTCCGTTGGGGCTATTGATAGAAAACGTGACAACATTCTGTACAGACATGGTGCAAACAAATGCAAGCTCTGGCGAGCCGTGTCTGGAGGCCATTGAGAGAGTCGTTGGGTGAAGGAGGTCAGCCAGGAGTCACCGTCACGGGTTACCGTGGAGTGGATAGATAGCGCCAAGTGGAGCCCGTCCAGACTGTGGGGGACCAATCGGCGTGGAGACGGAGGACAGCCCGGCTGATGGCGTCAACCACTCGTGGTATGCTGCAACAGTCGCAACCCGCCTCATGGTCGCCCTTTGCATATCCAGCGTCTAGATTTGGCGGCTATAACAATGCAGCACTCGGATGCGGCGTATACACAAACCCCAGCGCTTCTCCGCCTCCCCGTTGAGCTCCGCCGCCTGATCTACAGCCTCGTCCTCCCCCACACGACCACCTTCGATGTGCGTTTCCAGCGCTCCATTGACGCACCCCCAAAGTCCGAATACACTCTGACCTTTGTCCGGCAGCGGAATGGCGACGGGGGCTGGCGCGTGCAGCGGATCCTGCCGCGGATGGATCGCGAGACAGGCAACGACATTGTATGGCGGCGCGGAAGCACGACGCTGCTGGCCGTGTCGCGCCAGGTGCACGAAGAGACGGCAGACATGCTATATGGCGAAAACACGTTTGTCATTGACGTGACGTTCAATGCGATCAACTTCCGGTACCGCTGGCGGACGGCGAACAATCTGACGCCCAACCAGACGTACCAGTTCCTAGACCACTTTTCGCAGAAGAACCTGGTGCGCATCAAGAACTACATTGTAAATGTCGAGTCGGTCGACGACTACACGGGCATGATCAAGTACAATTATGGCGGGCGGGGCTTGTCAGCCGGCATATGCAGCAAAGTACGGGAGCTGGTGGATCTGCTTGTGGCGGTGCCGCAGTTGCACCGGCTGCAAGTAGACTTGATTGATGGCGCTATAAGTCGCGTTAGATTTCCAAGCGGCAGAGTGCATCGGGTGCAAGACGAGAACAGCATTACACAGACGCAGTTGGTGCTCGAGCCGTTTCGAGCGCTGCACGGGGTCCGGAACATCAAAATAAGCGGTGTTAGTGACGAGTACAAGGAAGAGCTAGAAAAGAGCATGACTGCATAGAATGATTGCAACCGTCGTGATATGAAGAATACAACTTATAGAGACCTGTACAGCTGTCGCTCCAAGGGAGCCGCCCACGAGTTGATAGCTTCTGGGTATATCGCTATACATACAGGCATGTGCCAAGTCAGCCAAATCGACGCCAATCCAATGTAAGATGCATTGCCAAAACGCCAGTTTTTTGCCCTCTAAAATATTGCAAACAGCCAACTCATGCGAACAGCACATTGTCGCTGAGTGGATCCTTCTCCTTCTTGCGCCCACCGTGCGACGTCAGCCCCAGCTCCTGGTGCTTGAGCAGAGTATCTCTCTGCGCCTCGGCTCGCCTGTTGAATCTGCTTGCCTTGGACTTCCTCAGGTCCGAACGGATCTGGTTGGGCGAAACAAACTCCTTGTTCTCGTAGATGATGGGGCCGCCAAAACTCGACTCCTGGATGACAATGGGCGTGAGGACGAAGCGCGGGCCAATCTCAACCAGGCTGACATCCAGTTCGCCCTTTCCTCCCTTCTTCTTGGGCGCAGGCTCGTCGACGTCCATCTCTTCGCCATCGGCATTCTTCTTCTTGCCTGGCTCGCTCTCGTTGATCTGGAAAACACGGACCCAGATCTTGCCATCTGCCACGGTGAAGCCCATGACGTGGTCGACAAACGGCTTTACTTTTCTGCTCGTCTTGGGAACGCCAAAAATCTGGGTAAAGAGCTCCTTGATGACACGGAGATGGGCCTGCTTGTCGAAGGCGGCGTCGAAAGAAAGAATTGGCCGCGATCCCTTGAGGCAGTTGCCGATAAAGTTGAGCTCTTCCATGGTGTGCAAGTTTTGGAGATGCATCTTGACCGTGGGGCCATTGGGCGGCTTGGACATCCAGCAGTAGAGGTCCTTGCCTTTGCGCGCCTCGAAAAAGAGGACATTGTTGCAGTTGTAGAGTTCTGCCAGGTTAGCTTGGTCCATGGAAGCGTGATTTGGGAGCGCTTTCGGCGCAGCATGGTCTGTGGGCTGATTTTCGTACCTGCTAGCTCGTTGAGCTGGTAGAGCTTTGTTTTGGTGTCGAGTTTGGCTTCTTTCCGGCTATGGGGCCTTTGCAGAATTAATAAAAGAAAACTTGAAGCACGACGCGGCTACTCACATCAGGGAGTACAGGTCTTGCAGCAGATGGCGGTGCCGGAATGTAACACCTCTTGAACTCTATGGCCGGTTAGTAAGAATATTTTTTTCTGTGGCATGCAGATGGCGCACCAGGATGAGGACGCGCTGCTTGTTTCGCTTGACGCCGGTGTCTTTCTCGTCCTTGTCGGTGCCCGACAGTGTCTTGTATACCGAAGCCATGGCGACGCAAAAGTACGGCTGCTGCTGCTGTTGCGGTTGGTGCTGGGGCGCGCTCTCGAAAAAAGTTGGAGGATTGATAGCGCCGAGCGTTTTAGCGTGATCGACGCTCGGGCCAGGCTACGACCCACCGACATGGGTCGCGGCTTCCGTCACCATCGCGCTGGCAGGGCTCGCCCAATGAGGGAGTGCAGGACCCAACGCTCCTGCCCCGTTTAGAGTGCGCCTGGGCTCATGGCGGCCTGTCGCGCCTTGTCGACGTGCGACTCCAACAGGGCGAGGGCGTGGCGGGCGAGGGCGAGGGCGACCAAGGGCCGTGGTCGCATGTGCCGAAGTTGCGAAGGCCTCAGCCAGAGTCGACGTCGACGTCGCTGCAAAGGCGGATGAGTGGTTGGCGTGGCAGCAGCGCAGCGCGGGCAAAGGGGAGAGCATGCAGACATGCAGAGCAGCGCCGGCGCCGGCAGAGCGCAGTCAGTCTTGACCGGCGTGGCTGCGTGCATGGTACGTACGTTTTTTTACTGGCCGACCAAGGCATCCGGGGCTGGGGGGTTGGGGGTTGGCGAGCTGTATGCTGGCGGGCTACGAGAGCGCGAGGGCAAGAGAGACAGACGAGGGCTCGCCATGGCCATGGCGACTGCAGTCGGCGGCGTGGACGGCAGCACCGGGCGCGCCGCAGCGGCTTCTCGTGCAGGCGGGTGCAGTGGGCGTGGTCGAGGCTGCAACCTCATCGCGGCGCTGCATGGCATCACGCCCGACGGTGCTCGCAGGGACAGAGGTGCCGCAGGCGCACTAGACAGAAGCTGACTTGCCCGCCCGCGGTGCCTGAGTGCGTGTGTGCGATCCGGACAGCGCTGCTCCACACCAGCCCCCATCTCCCTCTGCGCATCGCCAGGCTCGCCTTCGCCCAAGCCCTCGCCTCCGCCCATCGCCCATCGCCCAAGCCCGTCGCCGCCGCCGCCGCCGTGAGCCTCGCCGCCCGCCAGCACGCCCGAGGCGCATTCACGCTGCCGCCGTCGCCGCCGCCCCAGCGCGCCCCGCCGCCTGTGCCCGCCGCGGCCAGTCCATGGAGCAGCCGTGTGCCGGCAGCATTGAGAGCCGCTGAGGCGCCCGTCGCCATGTTCCGCGACCCCGTCCTGCGGCCTGAGGTTGATGATGGCGAGGAGCGCTCGCGACCAGACAGACGGCCGCCAGGGCACCAAGGGGAACCTACGCCATCAGCTTACCACACATCGCCGACACAGGCAGGCCTGCCATACCAACACCGTTCGCCAAACACGCCCACGCCCACGCCCACGCTGCATCCCCATCAACACCACCACCGCCCGCCCGCCTCGCCCGCCTCGACCGAGCTGCCGCCCATCAGCACGGCCCTCTATCCGCGCGACACGTCCAGATATTACGACCCGACGTCCGACAATGGCGACCGCGGCATAGCCAGGGACCCGGCGCGTTTCGACTCGCAGTATCCTGCACAGGTGCGTACATGTCTCTTCTTCTTCTTCCTCCTCCTCTTCCGCCTCCGCCTCCTCGTCCATCTCCCATCGCGTCCCTGCGCCGCCCTCAGGGATGCACTGCTAACCTCGTCGACACGCTCGCCAGGCCCGGGACCCTCTCGCCTTCCACGACGCCCACCGCCAGGCCCAGAGCCCCTACGAAAAGGCCCTCCACTCGCCCGTCGCCACGACCTACGCGCACCACCATTCGCCCCTGCAGCGCCCCCGTTCGCAGCACCAGCACACGCCCGCCATGGAGACGATATCCCATTCTCCCGTCTCGCCGTCCGTCTATCAGTCAATGAACCGCCCCGGCGGCGCTGTCCAGCCGCCCTCGGGCTACGACAGGCGGTCTTCTTTCAAGGATGAGGTAAGTGGGCTCGCGTCGCCCGTTCATTGCACCACGGCTGCTCACCACCACCGCCTTGACCTGCAGGCACCGCCACCCACGCGCGCAGACCCCATGTCGCTCTCGAGTATAATGTCTTCTGGCGCCGACAGCGAGCCTCCGCCAAAGCCCCAGCCGCTTCCCACCCTCACCCCTGACCCGTACCGACCATCCAAGCCTCTGCACAACCCGCAATTTGTCAAGCAGGAAGCCGTGGCATCGCCCGCACCAGCTGACCTGCCTCTGCAAGAGAACGGCTTCACGCCACGGCCAGCATACGATGCCGTGCCCCTGGCCGGAAGCGTGCAGCCTTCACTGCAGTCTGCCACTCGCGAACTGCCTGCTCCCGACGAGGCCGAAATCGAAGCACAGCTGGCACACATTGAAACTACGCAGATGGGCGATCTGGACGGCCCGGTCCCCATGTACGAAGAGACCGAGTACAAGCAACGCAGCCAAAAACGCGTCCTCGAAGTCGCGGCTACAGAAGCGGCCAAGCGCAAGCGACGGCGAACAGCGACCTTGATCCGCTTCCAGGACGTCTCTGCTGCACACCGCGACTATGCCAAGCACTCCTACAACGTCGAGCACGAGGGCGATGCATGGCAGCAGGTACAGAGCCAAGAGATTGCCGAAGAAAAGGAGCGCAAAAAGGACATGCAGCGCAAGCGGAGACGAGAAAAGACGATTCAGAACGAAGAGGCCAAGCGTGCCGAAGCTCTGGCAAAGGCTGGCCAGGCCGAGAACGAGGAGGAGAAGGAGCGGCACCTGCTCGCTGCCCAGAAAGCTGAGCGCAAGGCCAAGACCACCACACAGCTTCTGCAAGGCAACGCCCCCAGTAAAGACATTCGCGAAGTCACCCCGCATGGCCCCAACATGGAGGGAGGTACCATGAGTTCGTTCCAAGCCTCGGACGATGCTCCGGGCGGGAAGCGCAAGGGCAACCGTGGCACTGGCCGTCTTAAGAAGAGCAAGGAGCAAAAGCAGGCAGAGAAGGATGCTGCAGCTGCCGGCCAGGCGGCTCTCGACCGTGGTGATGACCTTCCTCTGATTGCTCCGCGCGAGGAAGCCCGTCTTGACTCGATACGAGGTCGCAGCCACACAGAAGACATTGGCCCCGTTGTGCTGACTTCCTACGACTCGTCGGCGTACCGCAATCTCTACCACCAGATTGTCAAGGACCTGGCCCGAAAAGATGTGCCCAAGGTCGTCCGCATCAAGGAGAACTCGTTGTCCACAAAACAGTCGAATCTTCGCAAGACTGCCCAGCTGGCTGCCAAAGAAGCACGCCGGTGGCAGATGCGCACCAACAAGAACCAAAAGGATACACAGGCTAGGGCGAAGCGAGGCATGCGTGAGATGCTCGCATTCTGGAAGAGGAATGAGCGTGACGAGCGCGAATCGCGAAAGAATGCTGAGCGTCAAGAGTTGGAGAATGCAAAGAAGGCCGAAGCCGACCGTGAAGCCAACCGACAAAAGAGGAAGCTCAACTTTCTCATCTCGCAGACAGAACTCTACTCGCATTTCATCGGCAAGAAGGCCAGGACAGATGAGATTGAGCGGTCCACAGATGACGCCGATGCCGCCGCCGCCGCCGCTCCGCAGCAAGCACCCAAGCCCGGGATCGAGGTCGCCGACATGCCAACAGGAACAGGCGCCAAAGTCACCAACTTTGAGGACCTCGATTTCGACAATGAAGACGAGAGCGCACTCAACGCAGCTGCTATGGCGAATGCTCAACACGCTATCCAGGAAGCTCAAGATCGCGCCCGTGCGTTTAACAAGTCTGGCGATGACGAGGACGACGGCGAACTGAACTTCCAGAACCCGTCTGGCCTACAAAACAAGGAAGACTGGATTCCACAGCCAAGTCTGCTCAGCTGCACGCTCAAGGAATACCAATTGAAGGGTCTGAACTGGCTGGTCAACCTGTACGAGCAAGGTATCAACGGTATTCTGGCCGACGAAATGGGTCTCGGAAAGACGGTGCAGTCGATATCTGTCATGGCCTACCTTGCCGAGCGGTACAACATCTGGGGGCCTTTCCTGGTCATTGCTCCTGCATCAACACTGCACAACTGGCAGCAAGAAATCGCAAAGTTTGTGCCGCATCTCAATGTGATTCCCTACTGGGGCACGGCCAAGGACCGCAAGATTCTGCGCAAGCTCTGGGACCGGAAGCACGTTACGTATACGCGCGACTCGCCCTTCCACGTTGTGGTGTCGTCGTATCAATTGGTTGTGCAGGATGCGCAGTATTTCCAGAAGATGCGCTGGCAGTACATGATTCTCGACGAGGCGCAGGCCATCAAGTCGTCGCAGAGTTCGCGATGGAAGAGCTTGCTCGGATTCCACTCGCGTAACCGGCTGCTGCTGACGGGTACGCCTATTCAGAACAACATGCAGGAACTTTGGGCGCTTCTTCACTTCATCATGCCTAGCTTGTTCGATTCTCACGACGAGTTTAGCGAGTGGTTCTCCAAGGATATCGAGAGTCACGCGCAGAGCAACACCAAGCTCAACGAAGACCAGCTGAGGCGTCTGCACATGATTCTGAAGCCCTTCATGTTGCGGCGTGTCAAGAAGCATGTGCAAAAGGAGCTTGGAGACAAGATTGAGCTAGATGTCTACTGCGACCTGACGTATCGCCAGCGCGCCTACTATGCCAATCTCCGGGCCAAGATCAACATTATGGACTTGGTGGAAAAGGCGGTTGGAGACGAGCAAGACAGCGCCACGCTGATGAACCTGGTTATGCAGTTCAGGAAAGTGTGCAATCACCCCGACTTGTTTGAGCGGGCCGAGACATGGTCGCCGTTTTCGTTTGCGTCTTTCGCCGAGACGGCGTCTTTCCTGCGAGAAGGTCAGAATGTCCGAGTCGGCTACTCGACGCGCAATTTGATCGAGTATCGTCTGCCACGCCTGGTGGGCCGCGAAGGAGGGCGCCTGGACCTTGCGGGGCCAGACAACCATAAGGCTGGCTTCAAGGGACACTATCTCGACAACCTCATGAACATTTGGAGTCCAGACAACATGGAGGCGTCTGCGCGAGAGGCCGGTGGCTTTTCGTGGCTTCGCTTCTCCGACTTGTCGGCCAGCGAAGCGTCCAAGATTGCCAGGAGTGGATTGTTCCAGCGAGCATTGGCTGCGGGGCAGAAGCCGAACAAGGCTGGCCGTTTCAACATCTGCTACAATGGCGATGCTGGCGAATGGGAACCGAAGCACTCGATATTCAACATTGTCGACCGGCATGATGGTGCACAGTTGGCTGCGATGACTAGCGAGGGTTACATGCACAACCTCTTCAACGTTGCGCAAAGCGCATTCGAACAGACTGGTCTGAATGTGGTTGAGCCATGTGCCAAGCCCAAGGCATCGGCGCCTCCCATTGAGCTATACTGCGCCAGTCAGGGTGTGATTGCGGAGAAGCAGAACATCTTGTTCAACCCAGTGATGCGCGGTGCGTTGTACGGCATCTCGCATGTGACGGAACAAGCCATGCTAGAGAGCAAGTCGGAGAGGGCTGCTTTGACGGTTCACAGCAAACTTCCACGGCCGACCAACGAGCGCACGCGCTTCACGCACATTGAGGCGCCGTCCATGTCGCGCTTCGTGACCGACTCTGGCAAGCTAGCTCGACTGGACGCACTGCTCAAGGAACTCAAGGCCAATGACCACCGGGTGCTGCTCTACTTCCAGATGACGAGGATGATGGACCTGATGGAGGAGTACCTGACGTACAGGAACTACCGGTACTGCCGGCTGGACGGATCGACCAAGCTGGAAGACCGTCGTGACACGGTGGCCGACTTCCAGAGCGACCGGTCCATCTTTGTGTTCCTGCTGTCGACTCGGGCGGGTGGTCTGGGTATTAATCTAACGTCGGCTGACACGGTGATTTTTTACGACTCGGATTGGAACCCGACGATTGACTCGCAGGCCATGGATCGTGCTCACCGTCTCGGTCAGACGCGGCAAGTGACTGTGTATCGTCTGATTACGCGTGGGACGATTGAAGAGCGGATCCGGAAGCGGGCGCTGCAAAAGGAAGAGGTGCAGCGCGTCGTCATCTCTGGAGGTGGGGGTGCCGGCGTCGACTTCAACACGCGCTCGCGGGAGAACCGGACCAAGGACATGGCCATGTGGCTCGTGGACGACGATCAGGCAGCCGAGATTGAGAAGAAGGAGGCGGAGCTGGCGGAGCAAGAAAAGAATGCACCGGCAGGCAAGAAGCGCGGCAAGAAGAAGCAGCGAGCAGAAGCCAACCTCGACGACATGTACCACGAAGGTGAGTAGTGCAGCGGGGACGAGGGGGCGAAGGGGGGCATGTACTGACCGTGTTCACAGGCGAAGGGCACTTTGACGAGAGCGCCAAGGCAAGCGGAGCAGCGACGCCCGTTGCAGGGAGCGAAACACCTGTAGGCGGCAAGCGCAAGAAGGGCGGGCTGAGCAAGAAGGCAAAGACGGCGAAGCAGCGGCTTGCTGTGGCAGACGGCGAGGTCTAAATTTCGTGTACGACTACTAGCAGACCGACATTTGATTCTACGGTATAATTGGGGGCGGACGACAGGAAGGAAGTTTTCTGAGCATGGTGAGGGAGGGATGGTGATGGATTATCATGTTGGCTTTGTTTTTTTGTTTGTTGCACGCACGGTGAGGGTTCTGCATGTGTACACTATCGGCCTTTTTTTCTTTTTCTTTTTCTTTCTTTGCGTATGCCAGGGTCGTGAGGGGCTTTGCTGCATAGATGACGAAGAAGAGCAAATCAATGTAGACATGAAGTTGGCCATGGCATGGACCTGTGCAAGCCGCTGTGGCACCGTGTGTGGCTTGGTGCGACGGGGCGTGTGCGTGGGGGTTGTGTGGCGCGTCGTGTGTGGCGTGTGGCGCAGGTCCCGATCAGGGCAGCCAGCGTCGATGTGGATGTGGATGTGCAGGTGCAGGCATGGCCCTTGGGCGGCGCTAGCCAATGCGACCGAGTACGATGGAAAAGTAGCTTGACTGTCTGGGCGCATGATGAAGATGACGAGAGGCGTGCAGAATCTCTCTCCGAACCAGTTTGGGAGAGAAGAGGAGGGGAGGGGGAGGGCTGCTCAGTCATGCTGCGGCCCAGGGGGGAGGGCTGCCGGGGAAACGTGTGCGACGGGCCCTGGCCATTCCAAAGAGCGAGCCAAATACTACACCTATTACATGCGCTGCAGGGCAGAGCAGATCCGGATAGCACGGCAGCGCCCGATGTCACTGCCAAACATTGCGTGCCTGATGAACAACGGGCGCTGTCGCTGTCGCTGTCGCTGTCGCTGTCGCCGTCGCCGTTGCCGCCTCCGCCCGCAGAGGCGCATGGCGGGATCCACGCAGCGTCAAATTGCGCGCGATGCAAGAGTGGTGGAGTAAGACGCCGCCGAGCGCGAGAGGGTTGAGCCAAGTATGCTGCAGGTGGGTAATAGGCGCAAAGCTAAAATTAAACCTTGGGCCTCTGTGAGATTTGGCTGACACGACGAACCATGGGGCGTGTCTGCCTTTGCCCCCTTCAACCGCCTTTTTGCTTGGCACGTTGGCGTCGAGGCATGCGCATCCTTCGCTCTTCGCGCCTCGTTGTACCTCCACCTCCACCTCCATCTCCGTCTCCATCTGCGCCCCCTTTAGTCCCTCGCTCTCCGCCTTGCGTTGCACTGCTCTGCTCTGCTCTACATAGCTACATACGTACATACGTACATACTTACATACTTACATACGCCCACGTACGACTACAGCCCTCCCGCGGCCCCCCCTGTGTGTGCCCTGCGCCCTTTGTCCGCTCTACCGCTGTCGCTTATCGTTTGAGTCGGTCCGGCCAAAGCCTCATCAGCACCGCCGCACCGCCGCACTCGTCCCGGCCAACCCGCATCTGTGCCATCAGCCCGCGCCCGCGTCCTACATAGGACATACCTCTCCCCCTCGCAAACGCCGCTGACCCGCCCCTTCCCTTCCTGTTGGCATGAAGGCATAGTGTAGACGAGTCCCCTCCGCCCGCCCGCTCGCTACCTACACTATACCCAACACCACCACCTCCCAAACACCATGGGTATGTCGCCACCCTCGACTCTGTCTCGACCCTCGACGTATCGCATTGCTTCGCCCTGCGCCATGTCAGCATACCCGCTGCCCGACGGCTAACACACTCGCAGTGGAGAAACGCCCCTCGATCGAGGGCCTCGTCGACAATGTAGACCCGCGCGAGTCGCACGAGCTCGAGGAACTGCCTACCTTTGAGAAGCCGGCCCCCGAGCCGGCCCTGTCGCTCAAGGACAAGCTCATCACCTGCTTCTGGATTGGGCTCAACACGCTGTCAACACTGGGATTGATCTTCCTGAGTAAACGGTAGGCCATGGTTACCGCCTTCGACGTGCCAGGGCCCTCCTTGCTAATAGTTGCGCAGAGTGTTTAGCGACAAGCAGCTCAAGGCATGCCAGCTCATGGTCGTCATGTGGCATTTCACCGCCACCGGTCTCGTTCTCTTCATCTCGACGCTGCGGCCCTTCCACGCCTTCAAGGCCGTCAAACTCAACATCTGGCAGATGCTGCCCGTCTGCGGCTTCTTCGCCGGCTATGTGGTTCTTGGCAACCTTAGTCTGACCTTTAACTCGATTGGCTTTTACCAGCTTTCCAAGGTCATGACCACCCCGACCGTCGTCCTCATCAACTTTGTTCTCTTCCGAAAGTATGTGACGCGATACATGCTGGCTGCCATTCTTGCGACATGTGTGGGCGTCTCCTTTACCATTAACGAGGCAGCCAAGACCCAGCTCTTTGGTATCATCATCGCCACCCTGGCCTTCTGCAGCACCGCCCTGTATCAGATCTGGATCGGCAAGAAGATTGAGGACTTTGCTGTTTCTCCACCCCAGCTTCTGCTCAACCAGGCCCCCATTTCGGTCTGCTTACTCATTCCTTTTGTTCCATTCTTCGACACCATCCCCGATCTTTCCGCCGTCCCTACCGATATCCTCTGGAGTGTCTGCGCATCCGGCATCATGGCCTCCATGTACAACCTGAGTCAGTTTTTGATCATTGGCCGGACAAGTGCTTTGACTTTCAACATTGTCAGCCATCTCAAGACCATTCTCATCCTGAGTATAGGATGGTACAGCGAGGGCAAGATCCTTAGTGGAAGAGAATGGTTCGGTGTGCTGCTTGCTTTGGGTGGTGGATGGGTATACTCGCACCTTGCGCTCAAGGCAAAGAAGCAGGGTAGCAAGTAAGAGCGGGGATTACGCCAACCCGGCACACCGATCCTTGCCTTTTGCAGTCTCAACTGCCCCCCCTTTTTTTTAATGAAACATGGGAATGGGCTGGGGGGATAGCCCCTTCTTTCTTGGATAAAGATTTTGGCATCGCAACGATTTGCTCGCCAAATGCAAATGGCAAAAAAGAAAGCGATTGAGCATGTGGATATATACACTCGCGCGCGCACCATGAACGGCTGGAATTGCTGTTGTGTGTTATCTTTTTTTTGTTAACGTCGCTTGCAACCGAGTTCCAAGAAAGGAAATTTCTAGCATAATGATAGATTTGGATGGCTTTTTTCTTTCTTTTTCTGCTTCTTTCGGTTCTTCGATTCTATTCGATTCAAATCCGCTGCTGCAAAACGCCGTCTTTTTTTTTGAAATATTCTTACAACACCATGAGAGAGAGAGAAAGGTAGAGAGAAAGGTAGAGAGAGAGCGAGTGAGAGAGCGAGTGAGAAGAGGGGTTGCGCAAGCGAGACAGAGAGAGGGTGGATTGGAATTGGGGGGGGGGGTTTCGGCAACGACAAGAGCGCAAAAGAAGAGACAGGGCAATTGTTCGCTTATCAATATTATTTTCCCTTTTTTTTGCTCTCGTTTAGCGTTTACTGTTGTTGTCAAGCGTATTTTTTTTCCTCCCTCTTGTTTTTGTTCATCATCAGTTAGTTTTATATCATGATGCTCTAGCTATTGCTGCCCATTACTACTATTGCCATTGCTGCTACTATTGCTGCTACTTACGCATGTTGTTCTTCTCTCTCTCTCTCTCTCTCTCTCTCTCTTTTTTTTTGTGCATATGTGTGATTATCATCGTTGAAAGTATCAATGCCTTGTTCGCATCATAGTATCGTCATTGTCAGCTTGAAGCATCATCATCATCATCAGCAGCTAGCACTATCATTATCGTGCTCTATCGTAAAGATGTGAGATGAAATATACATACGAATCTGGGTGGTTTAGTTGTGTATTTAACTACCTACATACCTACCTACCTACTGTAACATATTCTCCACATAAAAACTAACAACACCTACAGTATATATACATGTCCCTCTTTCTAACCAAATCTTCCTTTTCTTTCCTTTCCTTTCCTTTCCTTTCCTTTCCTTTCCTTTCCTTTCCTTTCCTTTCCTTTGCAGCTGCTTACTCGTACTATGTATATTCCCCCCCCCCACCCCCCCCATAACATACTATACCACACGGTATTTCCAACCTCAACCTTGATAATATCTCAGCCTTGACCCTTTTGACCCTTTTCACCCTTTTTGATGCTAACCCATGTCCTTGTTTTTTTTTCTTTCTTTCATAGCATGTCTGAAATACCCTGAAATACGTTACTAACGCTAATAATAATAATAATAATAATAATAATAATAATAATAATAATAAGCAAGCCCCCTTCTCCCCCCCCCCTTGTTTCCGCATCCCCTCGTTTTGAGTTTGAGCGATTTTGAGTTTTCTAGACCTCCCTTGTCGCATGCGCAATCACTTTTATGCTTGGAATTGTATTACCTGCCTATCCCCATCCTCCCCCTCCCCCCCCCCCAGTTTGTTTGATTTTAGTGTATCCCCCTTCTCATCTTGCTTCCGTGCCCGCTCCCTTGTGCTTGCTGCACTTACCCCCGTCTACCCGTTTGCCCCGTTCTACCCGTTTGCCCTGTTTGCCCTGTTTCCTGCACGGCATACGTATAGGACGTTTAGTCACAGAAACTCTATACGCTGTTCTAAGTTCTAACATGACAGGGTGTGTTGGATATATATACATGCGTAAGTATAGTCGAGAAAAAAAATAAGGTTTTTTTGGGTTCTGCTAGGCTTGTGCTAAGATGGGATTGTCGAGTGAATGGATGGAGGGATGGATTACATGTGCGTATACGCAGGCACAGGCGTGTACGTGTGTGGATTGCATGAGTACAAGATAATTTTTTTTTCCGTTTGATGAGCGGATGGCGGGGTTTTACTTGTGTTTATGCGGGTCTACTTAGCGCGTTGGAGGCTGGAGGCTGGTGGGTTGTGTTTCGTGCGTCGTGTTTTTTTTGCTATTTTCTATTTTTGGGGGGAAGTTTAATTTTTTTTGAAGGGAAGCGGAATGTTGGGCGCGTGCGAGTGGTTTGGGCCGGTGCTGTAGTGTGGGCTGGTAGACGCTTCGGTGTAGGGTGGACTTGGAGAGTATTTTTGCGATTATCAGATGTTTGGTAGGGCTGGATGGATTGGGAATAAGGGGTGTGGGGTGTGGGGTGTTTGTATCTAGTGACTGTTTTGACGGGATCGGAAGACGGGGTTACTTACTTAGTTACTTAGGACTTGGGGGCGGGAGATGATGGTGATGAGGATGCCACGTACAGAATAATCACACAGACTCACTTCCTCCCTTCACAGCCACCCCACCAGGCAGACGGGAACCAACGCTGTCACTGATGTCTTGCATGCCCACGCCCGAATTCTGCCTTGCACCAGCGACAAGAACGGCGTGTGCGCGCTATTAGGCCTCCCTCGCTCGTGTCGTTCGCCCTCGGCAAAAAACCCACTGTTAGCAGATGCAATCTCACAAGTCCCCGTTTCTAGCTCTCCGCCAGGCTGTGTCGACACGGCGCTAAGCACAAAAAGGCGACCGGACTGGCTCGATGAGTATTCACGTGCGGCTGTCCACCAGCGGCACGCCTTACTCACGGCAGATTAGTAGTGAGGCTGAAAAGGCCAAGTTGCATCCGTTTCGAGTCCAAGCACAAGGCTGAACTCCTCTTCCTCCTTCTCCTTGTATGCTAGAATATGCCTAGAAACCGGCGCTAGATTGACCTGCGAAACAAGTGCTGGACCTGAGTTTGGACGTTGTGTTGTCTCGAGTCACAGGATGTCATTTGGGGGGCTGTGCACCAGACCGGATCCTTGGAAAACGCCACTTTAGCTGCTTAGTTAGGCGTTCACCCACTTCTCCCCTCACAACCATATTTATGGTCCACCCACATGAGAGAGTTACTCATTAAACTACCTATTCGACTGAGAGAGTTACTCGTTAAAACTTGAGAGGAAGACTCATTTAAAGTGAAAGATCTGAGAGAGTTACTCACTAAAAAACTACTAGGCTACGAGCCTCACCTTCATTTAGATAACCCCCTACATTGTACCTACTCAATTTGTACCTAGATTAAATTCTAGCCTACGTAGTTACTTGCAGGCCTTAAGCCTGCACGTCTTATATAGCCCTTTGGGCTGAGAAAGGACGTTAAACTACAATAATAATAATAATAATAATAGGCGTTCACCCACCCAGTCTTGTACATATATGGCCGCGACGATGAAGGGCAGAGAGATGTAGCCCGCGCGGTGATTACAGCAGCTGTCTTTTGCGCAGCTTGTTGACGGGCTGATGGGGCGTTGTGATGATGTGGCTTTGTAAGTGGATGGGTGGATAGATGGATGGTGTGCGTGATGCTGAGACGAGAGAAAACGACATGTATATAAGCTGTGCATGACTTCTGAGAAGGTTTTCCACTCATCCATCCATCTACGACCCGTTCGAACAACCCCGAGTCCAGCTCTATCCATCCATTGTTACCAACGCATCCGCATCACCACACGTACATATACAACTCCGGAAGATACTATAGCAACCACATATCGAACACAGAAGATCCGCGCCAAAATGGGTTGCGGCCTCTCCAAGCCAAAACAACAAACATACCCCCCGCCTATGCGGCAGACCAACAAAAACAAGAAGCGTTATGGCTCTAATACTGCGGCTATCCCTCCAAACGACAACTTGACATCGACATATGTGCCCATGTCTATTGCGCTGAATAATGCGCCTGCTGATGACGGGCCCGCTGATATTGCGGGCGGAACATCGTCTTCGGGACATCGTCATTCGCTTTTTGGAGGCCACCATGGACATCACAGCCATCACAGTCATCATGGGGGGCATTCTGGGGGAGACTCTGGAGGATACTCTGGGGGAGGATATAGCGGAGGGTACAGCGGAGGAGGCGATGGTGGAGGTGGAGGTGGTGGCGGTGGAGATGGTAGTGGCGGTGGCGGTGGATGTTAGAAAGGGAGAAGAAGGGATGAAAAGGAAGAGGCATATACCATTGTTGTTTGTAGGATCGGGATTGGGTTAGATTGGTGATGTACCTACTTAATGCTTTATGACTGGCTATTGTTTGAGGTTGCCGGGGTGTAGTTTTCCGGCTATAGATTCTTTCAAACTACATGACCTTGGGATTATATTTCCTATCTGGTCTAGAATGGTGAAGTTGTCGACACTCCAAGGCACCAATCAATCAACTACCAGCCTCCGGCAAACTCTCCACCAACTCCAGCACCTTATGATCATCCAGCGCAGCCGCATACCTCAGCGCCATGGGATACACACATTCCTTGACCTGCATCTCATACGGACACATGATCCAGCCAATGCCCGATAGAAACCCTTTCTTGTACTCACTTGCAACCTCTGGCTCCGCCACCGAAAGCGACTCGACTCCAAACTTCTCTAGCGTGCAAAGGTAATGTTGCACAATGTCCCATTCGCGCGCCCGGCGGTCCTCAATGCTAAGCGCCGCCCCGATAAAGTACGCCACATCATGGAACGCAGAGCCGATATGGATCACCTGCCAGTCTAGGAAGCGCGGTGCCCCGTCTACCAGGTACGTGTTACCCGTGTGCGGGTCGCCGTGGATCAGGCAGCGGAACCGGGGGTTACGCTGGGCAAAATGCTTCTTCAGGACGGCTGTGATGCGTTGCTGGTCTTTGAGATAGTCGTGGATCTCTGGCCTATCGGGGCCTTTGACAACGGCGTCGTACGTCTTCATCAGTGCGTAAATGGCCTCGTCGTAATCAGATGTGAGCCACGGGTAATCGGATGCCTCGAGGTGCCAGGTCTTTGCGTGTAACGCAGCAAGCTGCTCTACGCCAGCTAGTACGCGATCTACCGTCCATGTCTCAATTGGACTGCCGAAGGTGCAACCCTGTGCAGCGAGGTCGTCCATGACCAGGATGCCTTGGGCGGAATTATGGCCTGCCCACTCGAGCCGTGGGAGCTCCATGTGGTCCAGTTTCGGTGCTACATGGTTGTAAAAGTCGCATTCGCGCTGGTAGACCATGACGATCCACGGGAGCGCCTGAATGAAGCTGGGGTCAAACCCGCCCTTGACACAAAACTGCGTGGGAAGTTTCTCGCTGCCATCCTCGTAGGTGACAGTGACAAAGACTTTGGTGGCCGTGCCTGAAACGGTTTTCCTGAGCACAACGGACTTGACTTTGTGTCTGAGGACGGTGGAGAGCCATTGTGCGGTTATATCTTCTGGGCGGGCGGGTAGTTCTGGCGGGTATGGGGTATCGGGATGGGTGGTCTTCGCTTGCGAAGAGTTGGTTCTAGCGACGTCCAGGTTTGCGTCTGTGGCAGCACTCATCTTGGAATAAGTAGGAATACGTTTGATCTCTACGTATATCTCCGATCAGTTGCTTTTAAGTTACTTGTAAACGGACCGAGTACCTGGAAATTCAATCATGCCAGCGCATTAATGTGGGGGATATGGGGGGCCTTGTCATTGTCGTGGTGTCTACCAGCCTCACTCTTGATTGCGGGCATTGGAATGGAACTGGATTACATAGTATCTAGTGCTTATATTTTATTCTCATTGAGCTTTGTGGCAAATGTGGTATCCAAAATAATTCCCGCGTACTTACACCTGTTTGTGAATTTCGTATATAGTGACATGTACAAGCAGCAGCCAAGGACTCTGACATGCAATATAGACCAGCGACTTTGAGCTTGAATTTAAGCTACAATAATTCACCACACAGTACGCCTTACTCTGATAGCCTGAAATTCACCATGGAGTACATTTATTGAACAACAAGTCTCCTTCCCATGAAGTTACTAATCGGCCAGAGCGTACCCCACATCTCCTCAACGCAACAATGCCCATCTGGCCATCGTCTGCTGCAATATACCAAACTAACTAACCAAAAAATAGACTAAGAGCCGTGTCATCCAAAAACACTAACTGAATCTATATAACCCTATTACTCTGACTGCCTCACATACTATGCATCCCCAGCAATCCCATCATCATCCTCGATCCACGCTTGCAACAACCAATTCCACACACCCCCCATCTACTTCCCTCCCATCTCCTTCCTTACCTCCTCTATCAACTCCTTTGCCTCCACATTCCATCCCTGGCGCGCCCCAGAACCGCGTACCTGGTGCGCTATCTCGGGAAGCTGGTAATTCGTTTCCTCGTCGCTGTCTTCGATTACAGCGGCGGATTTGAATGGTCTCCTGGTTCTCTTCCGAGGAGAGGGGTCTGGGGTCTTTGCGGGAGAGACTTTGCGCTTTTTGGGTTTTGGCAGAGGGGAGGATGCAGGAAGCGGTGGTGTGGGAGGTGGCGTCTTGCGCTTCTTTGTAACTGGCTTGGTTTCGGCGATGATTGCGGTGTGAGAGGTGGGTGGATGGTGCTTGGTTGCTGGGACTTGGTTGGCAGGATCTTTCTGCCCATCGATGGTTTTTGATGCGTCAGTAGCGGCAGTTTCCGGTTCAGTCCGGGTATTCTGTTTACTCGCTTTTCCGCTGTTAGTCTCGCCCGACGAGTTCTTGTTATCGTTTTTGGGATCTTGAGGCTGTGGAGAGGTCTCGTTTGACTTTTCAGAAGGCTTCTTTTGCTTCTCACTGGATATCACTTTCAGCGCCGCACCATTTTGGCCATGCCTCTTACTGTCCCGAGTCAGTTGGGCATCATACTCGTCCTCGTTATCGTCATTGGGAGTCTTAGGCTGAGGAGAAGTCTCCTTCAACTCTCGAGTTGACCTCTTTTGCTTCTCTCCTGATACCACTTTCAGCGACGCACCATCCTGACCATGGTTCTTACTACTCCGAGTCAGTCGGTCATCATGCTCGTCCTTTATAGGGAGTTCGTAGCCGCCCAGCGACGAAACCCGCTTCATAGTCTTATGCAAGCGCTTTCTCTCACCCGTCTTCACAATCTTCTTTTCCGCCGTCTTCCTCAGCGTCTTCTTCTCCTTCCCACCCACACCCCGCGGCCTCCCCCTCCTCAACTGCGAATACATAAGCATAACCTCGCGCTCAACCCTATTCAAAGGCGGCGCCCTCCTCGGTTCCAAGCCATCGCGCCTGTCCCACAGCGTCAACCGCTCTCTCTCCCGTTCCTCAAACTTCCGCACAATACGCACCGCAAGCTTCTTCATCTTCTCCAGCACATCGGGCTCCGCACACTTCGCATGCTCCGTCCACGGCAACCGATCCTCGAAGCGCTGGAAGCACGGCCGAAACGAGCCGTGCCGGTTCTCTGGGTCCTGCGGGTCCCAGTCGATGTAGAATTCCACGTGGTCGCAGAAGCTGACTGACGAGTAGTTTTGCGCGCGGGGATCCGCGTGGTGCTGTTTTCTTGAGGAGAAGAGTGCGCCGAGGTCCTTGCCGCTTTTCGGGCGGAAGATCTGGTTGGAAAGGTGCGGGCGTTCAGGGTGGTATGCGTCTGGGGGATGATGATGATGATGATGATGATAATGCGAGGAACGCTGGAACGCAGAGCCATCTCGCAGTGCTTGTTGAACGCGCTGCAGGTCGATGATACTAGGCAGTGTACTCAGCGAGAAATTATGTGGCGTCTCCGAGTTCTCACATGTATGTCGTTGTTTGTCTTTTTCCTTTTCCGGCGTCACAGTATCTTTTTGATTGTCGCCGCGTGCTTCTCCCAAGATATCTGCCAATATGCTCTTTGCACTTCCCTTCTTCCCAACAACACATTTCTCATCCCCAGACTCCGGATCCGTCAAATCCAACTCTCCAACATTCTTCAGCCCGTTGAGATGAAACGGTTTGCCCACACTACTGAAGAAGTGGTGCTGCGACATGGTTGCTAAGGGGGTTTCACTGCTCGAGGAGTTTGATGTAGTGCTGTGTTTTATTCTATCAGTGTAGTTCAACACGAAAATGAAGAATGGAATGTGTTTTTTTTTGGTACTGCTTGAGTTCTAATGGGAAATCAGAGCATATGTCTCGACTCTGCATACAAAATAACAGTGGAAGGAAACTGGCAAGTAATTTCTCTCTCGCCTTGAGAGTGAACAGCCCGACAGGAGCATTGAGAGATAAAAGCCATTGTGCGTATGAATGCTTTGGTGGCTACACAATTCGCTTCTGCCTTGCTGTTGCTCTGGAGGGGCCTCGAACTATGAATCCAAAGGCATTGTGCAGATTTGGCTGGACACACTGCTGCTCACCATACTATGTATCAAAAGTGTTCGGCAATGTGAGATTTCACAAATTCATTGCGTAGTTTGGTATACTCGATATCTGCACTTGACTCACACATACCCGATCGAGGAAATTTTAGTTTCGACAGAGACATGAACACCCACGTGTTGAGACGTGCATTGAGTATCCATCTTGTAATCTAATTGGCGCGAGGAAATCTATCACGTAGCTTTACCAAGGCTAAAATCATTAAGTCAACAAATCATCTGCTTCATGAGACGAAAACCCATTACTATCAAATGCAATTACGAAGAATGCAAGGTTACCTGCACATGCCCCGACAGCAGCTCAATTGTAGCATTCGCACCCTGCTTTCCAGCGACCTTCCACCCCCTCGGCACCATCATCTCACCACTCGTTCCCGTGGGAACGTCAAACTGCATCTGGGCCTCGTTGGCATTGATGGCCCAAGTCACATTGATGGCACCGTATGGCGTGGGGACTCTTCCAGAGACATTCTTCAAATCCAGATAGCCTAGGGCTGGCTGCACGTAAAAGGTCTTGTACCCAGCCGTCTTTGTTCTGACACCAAGCAAGTACTCCGGCAGCACATATGTCGGCGCAGCACCCCAGGGGTGCGCTAGACTTGTAAATGCGTCGATGCCAGGTGTACCGTCAGGCTTGACGTACTCCCAGCTTGCACCGCTGTAGTACGAATTATTGTTGACCATGCTGCCCCACAGGTCATCGAGAAGATGAGACACGGCGCCCTTGCTGTCGGCGTCGTACTTGTGGTAGGCGTCGAATAGGGCTTCGAGGAGGAAGCCCGATGGGTTGGGTGCGAGTTCGTAATCAGGTGTTTCTTCATCAGATGATATTGTTTTGTAGCCGGGGCCGAAGCGCAAACCTTCGAGCTTAGCGATCGACGATTTAGCCTGTGTTTCGTTTGCTGCCCCGGAGAGGATGGCCCACGCGATGCCGGTCAGCGAGTAATTTCCGGGCGACTCGACCGACAGGGAGTAGGTGCCAAGTTCAGGGTTCCAGAGATGCTTGTTCAGCCCGTCCTGAAGCTTAATTGCAGTGGCGTTGCATAAAGATGCAATTTCCATGTCTTGCGCAGCTCGCGCGAGAGGCTCGATGAGCTGGAGAGTGAAGGACATCAATCCTGTAACTGCGCTGCCGTTTCCAGGGCCAAGAAAGGACGCCGGATTGGGGACTTCTGGGCTCCCACCAACGAGGCCGGTATCTGGGTTGACGTATGCGACTCTAGCTTTTACGAGCATCTTGATGCTCTCCCAGTGCTTTTTCAGGCCCTCGAAGTCGCCCGTGTACCGGTAGTATTCGCCAATGGCCGCAAGGAAAAGATCCTGGTAGTCGACCAAGCCGGGTCCAGCCGGGTCCGCCTCTACATATTCTGGTCTGGTACCCAGTCGTGCAGAAATAGGAACAAAGCCGGCAAATGGACCGGATTTAGATTGATAGCTGAAAGCAATATCAATCGAGCCAGTAATGTAGTCCCAGCGGGCACTGGACAGGGCCAACACACGGACTGTGTGATAAAAGTCTCCAATCCAAAGGAGGCGGTCACGCTTTGCGCCGTCCAGACAGACGGAGTCAGCCAACGGTGCTACAGCATACTCGGCCAATACAGCTTCCGACTTCATGTCATTGCTGTAGATGCGAGTCTTGTTGGACGCAACGACTGATACGTTCGAGAAAACAGCGACTTGATCCTGGTAGCCACCAAATCCCCTGTGTGCCTTGATATCTAGATGGCGTGTTGAAGCGGTTGGTTCCTGGTGGTGGCAGTGGAACAAAAGCAACCTTTTCTCCGTTGAGGCTGATACTGTAGCCATTCTCCTGGATAGCCGTGACGACGTGATACCACTTGTTCTCCTCTACCGAGACGTTTAGAGGGTAGTACTGGTTCGCGGGTGTAGTCAAGGTGGACTGATTTGCCAAGTTCCAGTCACTGTTGAAGATCAGGGTATTCGGTGGCAGGAGTGTCTTGTTGGTGTTGAGGAACGTGCTCCCCTCCGGGTAGTTTGAGGTAAGGACAAAATACGGTCCGAGTGGCTGTATCGCGCTGGCTACGCGCCAACCGGTTCCTCCTCTTACGATTTTCGTGTCAAACTCTAATGTATAGTTTGCCGCGCCCATTAGAGCGCCACTGGAAGATTGTGCGGTGGCCTGGCCACGAATGAGAGCTCCCTCATTTGTCAGCTCCCAAGTCGAAGGGGCATTGCCGGCATCCACACAAGCAACCTGGACCACGCGTCCACCAAGACCGAAGATGTTGTTATAGGTATAGTCATGCATGTCCAGGTAGCCCTTTAGCTCATCCACGTCCGTATGCTCGCTCGTTGCTTTGAAGCCCAGACTTGAGAGTCAAGGGTTCGTTGGTAAGCAGACGGATCGACTGGAATCGCTGCCCTCCTTGCACAAAGAAGCTTTGCACATGACCTCCGCCCGTAATGTTGAAAGTCTCGACGCGCCACGTATTCGCTAGGCCGTTTGAAAAAGTCCATGGTCCGTCGGCATTGACATCGTGAAGGGGCGGGTACGACTCCGAGTACTTGACTTCAATCTGTGCTGAAGTGTTTCCCGCAACTTCGAAGAAAGGAAACCCAGCAACTTCAGTACCGTAGTCGAGTGTAGCGAGGGGGTGCTCGGGTGACAGCTTGACCGTCCCGCCTGGCGCGAGTTGGACTGGATAAACATTGCCGTAATCAACAAATCTATTCTGCAGTATTAGATGACAATCATACAAAACGTGTATCACGCGATACTTACGCATAAGCACCTATACTCCACGCCCAAGCTGCCAGCAAGCGTAGATGGAGGTTAGCCATGCTGAGGATATGTTGCGAAGAACTCAATTCCTGTGGGAAGAGCATCTCCTTTTAAAGCTTCTATAATTGCATTCATCCTTGCAAAGAAGTGTTGGGATCAGGGCTGCAGGTAAATTGGCCGACGCTAGGGTGGGAAATTTGTATGCGAATGAGAGGAATAGTCCAGGAACCAACTGATTATGCAAGTGCACTGCGGGGACCCCAGATCCCCAAGATCGGAGCGTGCCTTACTTGGGTTACAACGTCGTGGCATAGACTGGATGAGGTTGGGCGCTCGTATCCTTCAAGGGGTCTAGCGGTAGTGCGCCCGGGATGTGGAGAGAAAACTATTCAGCTCGCCCTGATGTTATACCGAGATGTCGCCAATAAGGCCCGAGAGCCAAGGGTAGGGGACAAACCTTCTTGATGCCCATAGTCTATTGGTTTAGTTACGATGTTTTTGTGCTAAGAAAAAGTGTTTACCCGCCTGCGTTCCGAACGGGCACCCGGTGTCCGGGTTGGCGCTTTGCACCATTCATGACGTTTCTCCCGCACAGGCTAGAGTCGATAACAGCTGACACGACCACGACAGATACGGAGGCTTTTGCAAAAATACTAGTCTTCACTTCGTTATGCAATTTGTAGTCGTGAAGCTCTGAAATTTGATGTGAGAAGTAAGCCAGGCCACGAAATGCTAGATGATTTGGCATCTGGAATGTCTCAACCCCCTAATCTAAGCATGAAATCTTAGCCTAGTGTGGGTGGTCAATGCGTGCAACGGGTCAGACAATGCAACACCCCCTGCATCTCCCAAAGTAGAACCCACCAATTTCAAATCCCCACAACTCCACCACCATGACAGCTATCGAAAAAGCGCTTGCGGCAATCAATTCGCAAGGTCTAGAAGGACAAATCTTGTACCGTACAGCTGCAAAAATATATGGTGTTGCGGCATCAACTTTAACGCGTCGCCACCAAAACAAAACGCGGTCGCGTGCAGCCGCTGCACACCCACGACGACTACTCTCACCACAACAAGAGAAATACCTTGTCCAGCACATAGAAAAACTCTCTAAGCGTAGTACTCCACCGTCCCAAGAGTTGATTAAAAAATATGTTGCCAATATTGCAAAAAGACAGCCATCTAACAGCTGGGTTACAAGATTTCTTCGGCGGAACAGAGAGAAAATTATCACCAGAAACACCGCCGGCATCGACCAAAACTGCAAAAAAGCTGACGATTTTAAAGATTACTATAATCACTTCCGTCTACTTCACGATTATATCGAGAAATACGATATCCAGCCGCAAAATATCTATAATATGGACGAAAAGGGCTTTCTCCTTGGTGTCACTTCAAGGACCAAAAGGGTGTTCTCCAAGAGACTTTGGGATGAAAAGAAAGTTCGAGCAGCTGTTAGAGACGGCAGCAGGGAGTGGATAACAACTTTAGACTGTATTTGTGCTAACGGGAGCTGGATATCGCCTATGATAATCTTTGAGGCAAAGCTGG